TATAATTGATAAATATTAAATCAATAATAAAATTAAATTTTAATATTTTAAAATAAAAAATTAAATATCTCAATTTTAAAAGATCAAAATTATATATCTATAAAAATAATAAAACTATAAGTATAATTTATCTTATTTATTAGTAATCCACGGAACATTACTTGTGAGAGTTTGAAAAAAGCGCTACTTGCAGACCTCTTTGAATGTACGAAATGAAAGTGAAAGGAAGGGAGATGCAAAAATAAAAACTCAGAAATATGATGGATAATGTGACGTTATGATAAGAGAAAATTTAAATTAAAAAAAAATGCACTAACCTGCATACGAAATTCATGAACAATGGAAACGAGGGGCACGAGTTGAAGGTAGCGATCGATCTGAGTCTGGACTTGACGGAACTGATTCACTACGCTCCAACCCATGGCAAGCATGTATAGGTAACTCTTGTCTTTGCAACTCTCTACCAAATCCACGGCTTTCCGTAGAGCCTCTTCAAGACCGTCCAACGGTTCCTTCGTCGCCGGCAACGTCGCCACCTCCGTCGATTTCAGCGTCTCCAGCAAGTTCCCTATCATTCTCACCTGCGCCGCCATGCGCTCGCAGTTCCGCCGGTGCGCCCTCGCGTTGTGCGCCGCCGCTATCACCATGTTCGCCACGCTTGCGCCGTTCAGCCCCGCCACCTGCGCTAGGTTCTCCATCTTCTCTCCTTTCTACAGTGAGATCCAACTTTTATTTTATTAGGCTTTGCTTTGGCCTGTGGAGTTTTTGAAGCGAGTGAAAGAGACACTTTCATTCGAGTTTGGACAGTTGCACAGAAATGGTGCGTACTATTGCCTTTGGAGGGACAGTTATATACGGAGACCGGAGAGGTGTTGTTGCCGTTGATCAGATCGATTAATTTTTGGGTGAATAATAATGATCTTAGAAATTCCCAAAGTAAATAAAACTATAAAATATTATCATATTAAAAATATACAAAAGTTAACTCAAGTTAAAAAAATATTTATATAAAAAGTATTTATTATAAAAAAATAATAATAAGCTTATCATATTACCTCTCATCAAACATTCAACATTATTTTCTCTTTTATTCAATGTCCATGGGGTTTCTTCTTTGCATGTGCATCTTGACAATTATGGAAAGATTTTTGATGATAAAGTTTGTCCTCTTTGGTTCACCCTTAACAACATATGTGATTTTTATAATTTCATTATTTTCACTTCGAAGTCTATTATTACTTCTCTTTAGATGAAAAACATCTCTTAGTCCCCTTCTCTTATAATAACGATCAAACTTAATGTTGATGACGGCTATCAAGATAACTCAAGACATTATAGATTTAGTGGTATTGTTCGTGACTTTATAGGTTCTTAGGGCATCTTCAATGGAAACAACTCATTTAAGTTGTTTCATGCATTGAAAAATGAAAAAAGTGGTCCTTAATGTGTCATGTTAGCATTATGTAACTCAAACAGAAATTTACTCTAATGGTAAGAAACTTTAAGAAATTCAACTTTTAGAATTTTTTTATAATTATTTTTATTTTTTTATATTTTTTATTTTATTTCTTATTTCTTTAACCCAACATCTCTTTTTCTTCTGAGAGTGTTTTTCCTTTTTCTTCACACTTCTTTTTCTTCAACTCCTCTTCCGACGCGCCACTGCATTCTCCGTTCCTCCATGACTACCTAAACCCTTCTGCCGCCTCCGTCGCGTGCGCCAGGTCCAGGCTGAGGCTCGCAAAGCTCAGGAAGCATTCCACGTCGCAACAAGCTAGGTCCTGCGATAGAACATCCATTGCCGTCGACGACGACCGACTTAAATCCATTTCGCTTCGATCAGCTCCTGCGGCAGAACGTCCAACCACGCACCTCCACCGTCCAACCCCGCGCCTCCGCCGTCCAACCACTACGTCTCCTTCCGTTCACAAAGTTAAGGAACGGTTGTTTCACTAAGCAACCCTCTCTTTTTTACAAGAAACTCCTGCTGCCACGTCACACTCCTCCAATGGTAAGAAATTGAGGTTGGAGTTGTTTGATGGGCCAAACAACTCCCATTGGAGTTGCTCTTAGCTTATTGGGTTCTTAAGGTATTATGGCTACATTGTCAATGTTAACGTGAAACTTCATTCTCTAGCTCAGTTTTCTCTCCTATTAAATTTATTTTTCAACTCATTTCTCTCTCACCTCTCACGATCTCAACTCTCTTTTAACAAATAAAAATTAATTAATAAAAGACAGAAATGAAGTTAATAAGAGAGAGAAAATATTTTATTTTCTTTTAAAATTAAATTAAATTATTATAATATCCTTTATACAAATTAACCAAATCAAAAGAAATGAGTGATTTTCTTGTCCTAAAATTTTGGTGTAGGTTGTTAACATACTCCAACTAAAAAATAGGTGAGAGTATGTTAACAATCACCATATATATATATATATATATAACTTGTCTATACTATTACAAGTATTCTACTTTTATATATATGCATGTCATATTCTCTCCTTTAATATTGTATGTTTTAGTAATCTAACTTTTGTTATTAGTTACAGTGATTTTATCTAGTGTAATAATCATAACAAGTCATTACTAACATGTTTTTTATTGCAAGGTACTGTACAATAAATGTGAATCCTTATACTAACGACATTAAATGGATTTAAATTATTAATTGTGTAATATCTATGTAAGTTTTAATAATTTAATTTAATCATAAAAATAAATTATATCAAAATGTAATTTACTTTAAATAATATTCGATTGAATAGTTTTATTTTTCTCATAAAGTAATATAAAAAATAAGAATAAAATTAAATAAAAGTTGAAATTAAAAGTATGATTTAATAATATTATTTAAAATTAATTATCATATTATTTACTTAATATTAGAACTAATATTATAATTTTAGTGATAAAATCAAAATTATAGATCTTGTAAAATTTAAAAACTAAAATTATGAAATTAAAAAATTTAAAGCACTAAAGTTACATATTAAAGGTAAAGATTGAAAGTGTAATTTATTTTTTTCTTCTTAATTTCACCACTATATCTATAAATAATTACAAATACTAACTAACAAAATATTTATATATATTTTTTTTGGCAGGTGCACATTTAACTTCACATGATTTTAAAATTGACAGATACTTGTACAATAACATAATTAGTTAACTCCATTCAATTTATTTATTTAATAAACGTGATTTGAGTTACTATACCAGAAAAGATATACAGTCACTTAATTGTTATCAGATGAAATAAAACAAAATTAAACGAATTATTATGTAAATATTATCTTATTTTTATTCACAGTTAATTGTTTATTTATTTATAAGTTCAAATATCTAAAATTTATGGTCAAAATTAAATACCCACAAATCTAATTTCCACTTTTTAAAGTAAAGTCATTGATTTTTCTATATTTTGTTGAATACCCACATCTAATTTTTCAAATCTTTATTCCCTGCAACTCCCAGTTCTTTTACCAGAAAAGGAAAAAAAATCTAAGATATCCTCAATTTAAAATCTTTGGTTATGTAAAATAATTAATAAAACTTATTCAACAAGCCCGTCTAGCTCAGTCGGTAGAGCGCAAGGCTCTTAACCTTGTGGTCGTGGGTTCGAGCCCCACGGTGGGCGATTAAATATTTTTCTTTTATTTTTTTCAAAAAGAAGGAGCCTTTATTTACCCCTGTTCTGGAGATGGTTAACCCTCTTTTCTCCTCTTGTACTTCTCTCGTTTGAATGCGGAGTGAATGTTCTCAGTACCATTTGCACCCTTGACAAGGTTAGAGCAATTCTTCGCATAATTTATGTTTGGTATCTGGCTTTTTGATCGTATCGAGTCCATTTTTCCACACTGAACCTTTGTTGGCTTTAAGTTTATATAATTTTTCGGAGGTATGAATATGGTACCAATCTTTATTTCGTAGATTGTGTTTGGGAGCATTTTGCTTATGCAACTAGGTTAGCGATTTTTTTACCATTACCATATAGACGATACATCTCGCGAGAGCACAAAAGGGTGCTTTGTGTAATAGATTTGGATACACTAAAGTATATGGGGGCTGTTCAGAAAGAAAAGTGTGGAGTTGAGAATCACTGATGGGAAAATCAGTACTAGTGTTATCTATCCTACTACATGGGGTCAGCTGCATGAATCAATCAATTAATCAAAACCATTTTCTTCTACCCAATTGTTTAGATTTTTTATAACATCAAATACAATCTATTGGTTAAATCAACAAAGTCATAGATTTGTGAGAATCCATTGTGGATTGTCTAATGAGAAGTCATTGCTTGTACTCGGGAGTGTTTGTTGCCGCTCCTATTTGAGAATTTTTTGTTTAAAAACACCCTTATTATCAATTTAATTAACAAATATGAATGAGTATTTTAGATAATTTTTACTTAAATTGGAGTTAGAATAGACATCTTGGAGTGGTGATAGACTCACCCCTTGTACGCTACTGTCTAAAGTGCACTTTGTACATAGAGGATCCTGATTTTTCTTCTTTATCTCTTAATTCTTGTTTAATTTGAAGCCAATGTGTTGCTAATTGTGAAATTATTGTTTAGTTTTTGCTTGTTTTCAAAAGTTAGCAAAGAAAAAGAAAATCTCCCCAGGGGAGGGGAGTGTGCATTCAGAATTCAAACATATGGCTGTTTGTAATTCAGGTGAGTGAACGTGGTGATATTTTGCATGCTAAACACATGGCAAAGCTATCCCAAGACAATGAGGAGGTAAGTGATGGCGAAGATAGTGAGAAAGAAGATAGGAATGGATTGATGTGCAAAACCAGGGTTCTGATTTCACAGATAACCAACGTTTTTTATGGTTACGAAGCAATAGGGGATTAGGGGTAAGAAAAATATGAAGGATTATCTTATTTTTATTCGTTGTAAAATTTAACCTTAGTTCCTTGCTATAAAAAAGAACCCCTCAAATCTGTACTTCTTTTGAGTTGTAGCAGTTCTTTATCCCGAAATAAGTATACGCTCAATCCACATAATTACTTATTGATTAATAATTTTTTTTATCAACAAGCCCGTCTAGCTCAGTCGGTAGAGCGCAAGGCTCTTAACCTTGTGGTCGTGGGTTCGAGCCCCACGGTGGGCGAGTATGCTTTTTTTCTTTTTTCCTTTCCTCCCCAAAAAACCCTTTTTAATACTGTGTTTGGGAGCATTTTGGTTATGCAACTAAGTTAGCTATTAGTTTTTTGGTTTGTTTACCATTTCCATATAAACCATACATCTGGTGAGACTACAAAAGGTTGCATTGTATAATGGATTTGGATACTTTAAAGTGTACTGGACAGTTTCAGAGAGACAAGTGTGGAGTTGAGAGTCATTGATGGGAAAATCAATACAAGTGTTATCTATCCTATCTACATGAGGTCAGCTGCATGAATCGCTCAAAGCCATTTTCTTCTATCAAATGGTATAGAGTTTTATAACATCCAATACAATCTATTGGTTAAATCTTGTGAGAATCGACTCTGGACTGTCTAATGAGAAGTCATTGTTTGTACTCAGGAGTGTCTATTGCTACTCTTAACTTAGAATTTTTTGTTTAAAATACCCTTATTATTAATATAGAATCTGTCTAGTTGTTGCTAACACAGAGTATGTTGTTGATATGGTATCCCTTGGTATCTAGCTACTGAAGATTTATTTGTACTGGATCAAAAAATTTCACTCTCATGTCCTATTGCTGATAACTATAAAAGCTGTGGTTACTTAAGCAAATGCCACCTTTGCAGAGAAATTATAAATTTGTAATTGCACTATATTATTGGAGGATATGTCCTTCTGACAATTCCAACCATTAGACAATAGACACTAGATCCTGTTATTATGTAAATCTAACTAGGAAAAGAAATACAGAATGTTGGTTAGTTACTTGGCTACTGTTAGTTTGGATTTTTTAGCTGTTAGGTAGTTGCCTATAAATAAAGCATGGTGGTTGTATTTTATACAGGTTGGAACAATAATAAAAAAGTGTGCACCACTCAGTTCTTTGATCTATCTGTCTTTTTCTATCCTTCTGTTATGTTCTTCTTCCCTCTTTCTATCTCTTTTCCAACTAAATCTTATATCATATCCACTATTAAGTAGGCAGTTGTGGTCTTGTAGAATTTCATCGACAAGTTTAAGCGGTAACTTTTTGTTATTGAATGTAAATTGTAAATTTTTTATGTCTGTACTCTTGACAGTTGCAATGAATACTTGTTCCTAACAATGTTGTTGCTGCTTGCACCGAATCAATAGAACAACATAAGGATAAACTTGTGCAGGAGGCACCGAGTGCAGTGAGTGTCAATGTTTTCTATATTTGCTTGAATTTCATTTTCTAAATTCTAAAATATATGATTTTACAATATCCTCTATTTTGAAAGAATGGAAATGAAGCAATGAAACAACTAGAGTGCTTGCATTGAATGAGTAAGTAACAAACAAAATACTGGAATAATCAATTCGTATAGATTCAAAAGTTAACTTTCAATTCCTTTTCATGAGAATTGATGAAATAAAAGTAGACAAATTTTTTTTTTTGAATCATTGAATTATATTATTCATGTCAGTGATAAGAAATTGCATTATAGTTAGGAGAATCGCATATTTGATTATGAATTGCAAGATTCTGATAACTGGTTTTGCCATTACACAAATAGTCCACCTGTCATTTTCTCTTCTATCTTTGACATACTCTAGATATACTCTTTGGAGGTTTGATAGTTGACACTACATTGTAATTCGGTGACTGAACGTGATAATATTTTGCATGCTGAACATATGGCAAAGCTATGCGAAGACAACGAGGAGGTGAGTGGTGGCAAAGACAGTGAGGAAGAAGACAGGAATGGGAGAATTTGATGTGCAAAACCAGAGTTCTGGGATCACAGATTGACAAGCTTTTGGGTAGAGTGAATAAGAAAAAAAAAGAGCACATCCGTTACTTATTTTTTTGAGGCGGGTTGTTGATTCTTTTCAATCTATCCTTTTTGAATGCATTCAGTATTCTATTCTATAGTGCAAACTTCAGTTAAACAAACGATTAGAAAGTCTTCGCAAGAGTGTGTTCAGTATTCTTCGGTCTTGAGTTGACAGCCAAATTATATTGTCTGTTTTATCTGTCTGGTAGTATAGTCATTGGCACTCATAATTTTAAAGAATTACCATAAACACTGTATTCATAAATTTAAAATACATTCTCCCTCTCGTACATCTTTTGGCAGAAAAACATTAACAAAAATATTTTTCCCCACTTTTGTCTCTTACTATTAATATGACATAAAATTAGACCAATAAATAGTTAAATATTAAATCAGGTTAATCCGGTTAAAAAAATCTATAATTAAAATTCACTTTCTCATTTTCGACATTGCAACAGTTACAATTGGATAGAAGAAGGAAATACTCCAACATGAACGCGGAATTCACTGTTGGGTAGGATACAGATAAGAAAAATACGACCAAGAAATTTCCTTAGATAGAAGTACTCAAGTCTATTTATACATATGCCGCCATTATAAGAATTGCAAATGAAGCAATCCACAGGAATCCTAAGGGTTTTAAGTTTTTAACCCGAAACAGCTTCACTTCACTTCACAACATGAACACTGAGAGAAACGCGGTCTAAAAACATATTGTGACAGTTATGTTACTTGGGTGCCATTCAACACACAACAAGATGGCCACCTTCCTCTGTTTCCTCTGTTTCCTACTGATTTTCACGTTCACACCTTTATCACACTCTCAACCGGAGCGTTTCACGAGGCCTTTGGGTGGGGCCCGCCAAGAATACTTCGAGGTGAGTTACCCTCCACCCTCGCACGAGCCCACACCCTCGTGCACGCACCGAATCCTCCACCACTCCTTCGCCCACACCATCGATTCCCCTCCGTACACCACCCCCTACGCGCCTCCCACGCGCTGCCCTGCCCCGTGGTCGCGCGTGGTCCTCGATTTCCACGCCCGCTGCAAGGGCGAGCAGTACGACCGCATCGCCGCTATATGGCTCGCCGGCGTCGAGCTCCTCCGCACCAGCACCGCCGAGCCCACCGCCGCCGGTATCTTCTGGAACGTCCGCAAGGACGTTACAAAATACTCCTCCCTCTTCCTCAAGCCCGACCTCGACCTCACCATGATGCTCGAAAACATCGTCAATCGTGACTTCACTGGAATCTACCACGTTACCGTTACACTCCTCTTCTACAACCAATACTACGTTAACGCTCCCGTTAGGGTTCCTTTTGTACCTTGCCCCGAGGCTCTCAATTTGAACCCAATCGAGTCGAAATCCAGATCGAGATCTCTTATTCAGGAACCTGGTTTCAGCGGTGTGACAGAATCGCCGGCGGATTTGATTATTCCGATCTCCGACGACGGACGGCGGGGGTTTTGGTTCAAGGTGGAGGAGGAAAAGCGTTCGTGTTCGCGGAAAATTCGAATTCCGCGGAACACTTACAGAGCGGTGCTTGAACTCTACGTTTCTTTTCACGGAAACGATGAGTTTTGGTACTCGAATCCTCCGAATTCTTACATAACGGCGAACGGTCTGGACACGGAGCGTGGTAACGGCGCGTACAGGGAAGTGTACGTGACGATCGACGGGCGCATTGTGGGGTCGGAGGTTCCGTTTCCGGTGATATTCAGCGGTGGGATAAACCCTTTGTTTTGGGAACCAATGGTGGCGATCGGCGCTTTTAACCTTCCCTCATACGACATCGATTTGACGCCGTTTTTGGGGAAGATTCTCGACGGGAAGGACCACGTGTTCGGAATAGGGGTGGTGAAGGGAATCTCTTATTGGTTGGTGAACGCAAATTTGCACCTTTGGTTGGATCATGATTCCACTGTGGTTCATGCAAACCCTGTGGTTCATTACAGTCCCGAAACTTCAATCGAACGGCAAGAAGAGTTTAGAGGGCTTGATGGGGCTTTTGACGTTGACGCGGAGAAGGAAACGCAGATTACAGGGTGGGTTATAACCAGTGCTGGTAACATCACCACCACGGTGTCGCAGGGTTTCTCGTTTAAGAATTTCATTAAGTTCCAACGTAAAGGGTCTTTGAAAACGGTTAAGCAGAAGTTCAAGGCGAAGAAGAAGGTGAAGGTGATCGATGGCAGAGGGGAATCGATTACGAGGTTGAAGGTTCGGCGAAGGTACCCCCTGCGTGTTGTCACCAACACTCAGCAGTTTCAGGATGGGACGTATCGTGTTGTCACTGATGTTTCTCATTCTGTTAAGGAGAAGTACGTTAGTGGGTGCTTTGTGAAATCGATTAACAATGTTCAAAACTCGAAGGGGTGGATGGAGGTTAAGGGTCACTCTGTTTTGTCGGGTCAAGCTAGCACCACGCAGAATTATAGTTATGTTGATAGGGTTATTTGCTACTCGCGGAATGTTGCAGCAGCTAATGGCATCATTGTAACGGATAATTCGACTTTTGTGTGCGAACTGTGAAAATTCTTTGTAGTTTCTTTTTTACGTACACCTATTTGTGTAGTAGTTTCCCATGTAGGGTTTTAGTTTTATTTTTTCTACTAGGGGGAAGAATGTGTAGTAGTAGTATATTTTGAATCTACATGTATGTATTTCCCACTTTCCATAGGTAGTTGTTATGTACTACTGTGCCCGGGATCTAGACACCAAAGAAACACAAGCCTGTGAATCTTAAAAATCTGTCACGGTTAATAAACAAGATTCAGTACTTGTGAAGGCAAGTATCATGAAAGCATGGCTTCTAGTAGAAGAGAGCTTACTGACGATCATCTTCAGTGTGAGACCATCCTTGCTAGTCTTAAACCAAAGCCTGAGGGCTGCTTGGCTTTTAAGAAAATCTATTTTCATTTTCTATTTTTACTTTGTTTCATATTTTGAAAAGTTTAGAAATAATGAAAATGAAAATATAAAATAATACAAAGCTGTTTTTCACTATTTTACATCCAAACTTTTGAAAACAATGAATAAAGCAAAAAATGTTAGACATTTCTGAATGCTAAATTGGTTCTTGCGCTGCTCAGCAAGCAGAGGAACGAAATTATATTAAGTATTAACTGCTGCATGCACAAGTTATGGTAAAAACTCATAATACAGAATGAAATTATATTAGAAAAACAAAATTCTCTGTATGACTAAATAAATGTCTCGTTAACAAACTTCACACTTGGACAAGATTACATGTCGAATAAATATTCCTTTCTTAAAATACATTTGTAAGTTGCAACTACTATTTCTTTTTTTATCCATCCTATACTGATCCGTGTGTGATTGAAGAATACATTCTGTTTCAAGAACTCATAGGACGCCAGAAACCCTTCCTACCCACAAGAAACTGATCCTGATGCAACGTTACAGACCAGTTAAGTGAACTCAAGATCGGAACGAGCTTGTTAAGTATTTCCGTAGAATCGTGAACCACGAGATATCCATTTGGTCTCAATATGCGATCAATCTCCACAGCCACATCTACAATGTCACATCTGACAAGAAAAACTCATTGTCAGAATCATATATCATAAAAAATACCTGTTACGAGTAAAGTTGACAGAGTTCTAGGGTAATATTAATAATAGGAGAAAACATGATCTATAGGTATTAGTTTCTTCAATATGCATACCTTCGCTCAAGATATTTGAAAAGAAAGCTAGAATGAAGAAGATCGTATGTGCGAGGATAGGTGTTAAAGGACTCGCACCAATCATGATACATTCCTATTAGCCCTCTGTCCATTATAATAGAAAGAGTATCTGGCACATCAATAGGTACTACATTCATCACCCAGATTGGTAGATCAACGAGAGCCGCGGCAAATCTGGAAAATAACAGACTTGGTATAAGTTTCAAAGAAAGGAAACTGACCAATTTATGTTAATGCAGTAATAAATGATGTAAATGTACATAGATGGCATGCCATTATAATATCATATGTAGGTCCGAAAGACAGATCAGCTATATATACATACATACATATTATATATATATATATTAGTTTTCTTAAATAAGATCTTGTTTTTATGTTTTATAAATGAAAAAACATGGTTAGGATTAAAAATGATTAGACAAATTTTTTAACAGAGATTAATCATTAATAAAACTAGCAGATGCTCCACACTAATATCATGATTATATGGATAAATGGATGTACCAAGGCCCTCAAAATGGTCCATATTCTACTAAAGAATGTGAAGGGAAAAAGAGCAAGAAAAAGAACTGTAACAGAATTACTTTACCCTGCATAACCAGCATTCATGTCCATTACATTTCGAAGACTCGACCACTTTATAGGAAGACCATCCAAATAAACATTTGAAACTAATTCAGACCAGTGTTTGCTGTCCTTAAAGAACTTGTCTTTCGCATCTGAATCAGAAGGTAAACTAGGGGGCTTACTGGTAAGCCTCTGGGGCCAAGGCTTGGGCCAACTTTGAATGTTACCCATTCCATCAACCGGAAGAGGAGTAAGGCAGCTATTGAGTCTGGCATACCTGAATATAAGCAAGCAGAGACAATCAACAAAGGTAGAAACTAAACTAAGAATAATAATATCTACTTATCTAGTATTGCTTGCAATGGTCCACATACATTTTCTCTGGCCTTTTTTTTTATGGAACAATATTCATTTCTTTCATGTTGGCATTGCGGAAAAAAAATATAAATTGATGGAAATATAAACATTCTAGAAATAAAATAACACCCCAAGAAGAAAGAGAGAATACCATGAGCTATTCTTCCCATCCTGATTTTCACATAAAGGTGGATTGTTCTCTTTACGTTTCTTATAGCAAGAAGATGAGGTAGGCTTCTGGTATATAACAAGCCCAATTCCGGATGAATCACTAGCCTTAGCCACAACCTTCCAGCACATAGCTTTTGTTATAGCCACCATGGCTGCAGTTTGGAAAAACAAATATTTTTCTTAATTCTTAAACATAAGAGCAAAGAAGATAGAACAATGATCTCCTATCATCCTACGTATTAAAATTTTGTTGATTACGTTACTAAGTCTCTGAATTATTTGAAAAATTTTAGACAAGTCCCTAAACTGTTTTTTTTTTTCTCTCTTTTTTTTAATTGTGTTCCGAAACTAAAAAAGTAGGTCCCTGATGTTAGTTTTTGGCAGCTTTAAACTGTCAAAAAATGACAATTTTTGGAGATTTTAAAAATCTTAGGGACTCAAATTATTTTTTTTCATGATCAAGCACCCAATTATCATTTTTTTTTTTAGTTTAAGGATGTATTTAAAATTCCCAACTTGTCCAGGTGCCTATTTAGTACATTAAACCTAATTTGTTTGCATATTTGGGGAATTGTGATTGGGTCATACAGAAATTCAACATGTCCATGTATTAAATTAAACAAGATACATTGTTGAGACAGATGAAAAAAAAAAACAATTAACTACAGAGGAAGGAGAGACAATGACACAAATAGACACAGAGAATGAAGGTGTGAGAAAAAGAGAAAGACAAACCATTCCATACTTGTTGATCTCTTTCATCATCACGGTAAACTGGTGTTGCAGACCATGCAAAGAAACCACCAGGTCTAAGAACCCTATTGAGCTCATACAAGGGCTTCCCACCTAAAGTTGTGACCAAATTTGTGAATAGACATTTCTATCAGAAATATATTGATATAAATGGAACATGAAATTCAGTTATGGAATACTGTTCTGTTTCTGATATGTAAATAAGAAAAGACAAGTACCATCTGCATCCCAGTGAACCCTGCATCGTGCACAATGGATCATATCAAATCCATTATCAGGAAAAGTCAACTTTTGTGTTCCAATGACAGAAAGAGTTGCAGGAATTCCTCGTTCCAAAGCAAATTGTATCTGAGCTTCATGTTCATCTTTTGGGGCAAATGACATAGTAATAACATTTTTGTCCAGCAGATAGCCACCGAAGCTAGCAACTCCACAGCCAACATCTAGAACAACCCTGGTATGCTTTCCCCATTTTATTGCTGGTAAAGTCTAGTGTAAAACAAAAAATAACCAGCAAACCACAAAATGAAGTGAGAACTCAAAAATTAGTCCTACCAGCATACCATATGTAATATACTGGTTCAAGTCATGCATATATCAAAATGAAACATTATTACTCGGCACTCATTGATAAAACAAAATTTAACAAAATGTCATTAATTTTTATTGGATAAAACAATAAATGGATGCCAACCGCTGTAATACAAACTCCTTCTTGAGAGAAGCAATGAGTACTACATCTAACTGCACTAAGCAAAAATTAAAATTTCAGCCCCACTATTCTCTCAGATATACATATACCTGCTGTTCCTGCCTAATACTATTAATTTGTAGTCCAAGCAAGATTCAAATGCCTTGGTTCTTAGATGTATTGTTAAAGGAATAATCCATAAGAGAAGTAAAATTCCTTCCCAGTCACTCTCCATCTCCTCCCAATTCATGTTTTCTTTTACATTTTTTAGTCTTTCTCAATAGAGTTTATGGTATCTCCAACAGTCATACATGGAGAAAACAGATTAAAAAAGCACATAACATAATTATGGTAAATTATGTGAATCCAGATGACACGACAGCATACCTTCTCTATGAACTCAATATAATGATCAACTCCATCTTTGAATTGAGTACCACCACCAGGAAAGACCAGATATTTCCCAGACTTGACTACCCAGTGTTGGTCTTTCTTGTACTCCACCAGCTTCGGATAGGGGACGTTATCATACCAAATCTGAAAATAAAGGAAATATAAATTCCTTCCTGATTTCATGCCTAGATAAAAGTAAAATCAAATACTTAGGTCTATTTGGATAAACTTCACCCGTAATACTTATAGAAGAAAATAGGAAGAAAAAATAAAATTAGTTTAACAGTAAGAGGGTTATACAAATTAATTTTCACACAAGTTAATTTTAGTTTATTGAGAAATTAATTTCATTTTTCTTCATATTTTCTTTTGATGGAAAAGTGTATCCAAACCATAAGATAACAATAACCATTAAACACAACTTCCATAAGTATATAAGAAGAAATTGGTATGTGACAAATCATAAAGCAAAACCTATTCAGAATATAGGTACAGTTAAGAGTACAATTCTATAACCTACAGAATATGCAACTGATTCACGAGTAGAGTGCTACACTTTATTCAATTTTTATCAATCTCACCTTGTCCCTGCTCTTAGGCCAGGGAACTGGGACTTTATACCCTTTAGGAAGGGGCAGCAAACAATGCAGACTAGTCTCAGGACAATGCCTTTCCCGGTGCTCCATGTGCCTCCTCGACTTCAGAGCCTTAATCGCCATAAAATTATCCAAACAGGGAATAAAATCAACATTCACAGGGTCTTCACATAGCTTCCACTCGATCTTCTCTGACTCCTCATTTTGGGGCAAAATTTGGTCCTTCTCGGTTGAGACATTGGTCACGTTTGTGGGTAGCTTTTGCTCTTTTGGATTTGCAGTGTACTCAGGAGGTGCTTGAGAAGTGCCGAGGGGTGGTTGCTCTTGGATAACAGAGTAGAAAGCGACAGGGTTTGAGGTGGAATTGGTGAAGAGGAAGAGCGTGACGCAAATGAGTAAGATAAAGAGAGTGAAAATGAAAGGGTATTTCCTTTCCTTGAAGAAGTCTTCAACTAGTGCCATTCTTTTTTTCTTTTTTCACTCTCGAGGGAGACAGAGATAAAGATAGAAAGGTTTACGATGTAGAAGGAAACATTTTGTAATGAGGATGAGATCAAAGGGTGGAAATCTCTGGATCGTGTGGCTATCCTTCGGATCCTAGAGACTGTGTACTTTGGTGGTCAGAATCAGAATTCAGAACGCAGCTTCAACTCTATCCTAGGTTCTTGCACTTTCCAAGCGACGCGTTGACACTGACACTAGCACCGTTCTGCTTTGTTTTGTTTCGCTTTCGCAGGATCTTAATTCTTACCAAGGTACCCACCCCGGTTCATGATATATGATTAAACACAATTTTTAAAGAAAAAACACGTCTACAGTAACTTAGGCTTTAAATACTGCTACCCAACATGTTAAAATCTTTTTATAATGTCCAGTTGTCGACTCTAGAACAATGTCGTGTCTCACATCTGCAAAATCCGAAGACCGAACCCTGATTTAGACATGTTAGTAAGAGGAATCTGAAGACCCCAAAGGATTTAGAAAAGAGCAATTATATACAGTATATTTTTTGCATAGCAATATTATCCTAGTAATTTAAAAATATTAAAATAAAAATTAAATACAATTAATATCTTAAAAAGAAATAAAATCATTTAACATTTGCTGAATTTACTAATTAAGATTTGTGAGAAAAACAAATAAGGGAAAGGGAATATAAGAATAAAAAACAAATTTACATACAATCTTTTTAATTTCATGTTTAGAACCCTAAGGTGTTTTTAAAAATACTTCAAAAATGAAAAAAATTATTTAAATTAAGAAATAATGAAAAATGACGTGACTATTTTTTTAAAAATTTTTTATAAGAAAATGACGTGGATAAATTATGTATATAACGCAATCAAGTTATTACACTCAATAGATTACTACTAGCCATGAAAATAAAATAAAACTCAATTATAAAGAATTTATATATTTACGAAACCTGAATATATGACATAATATACATACAATAAGAGTTTATCAACAACTAAATCATATAATAAATGTGTGAGTATGTGTCTATATATATATATATATATATAAGGTCTGTTTACTTCGAGAATAAGTCTATTTAAACTTATTATCTTTAATAACTTATGCTCTATATTAAATCTTAACTATCCAACCTTTGAATTTAAAGTTCTTAATACTTAGATAAATCTGCAAATTTTTAAAAAAATTAAAAATTATTTGATACTTCGTTTCATTAATTCAAATTGACAGATATACATATACACACACATTAATCCTGATTATAGTATGGAAATAAACCCTAGTTGTCAGTTAAGCAACATACTACATCAATGACATCATAATAGTCTAAAAAGGTCAACTTTGTCATCTTCTAATATGGTCTTAGGAGAAAACTCTTCCACATGCTTATTTCTGTTCCACTCTCATACCAAATATAATTATTACAGTTCAACCATACAAAAACATGGAAGGGTGAGTCAGAATTCAAAAGAAATCAACATAAATAGTATAAAAGTAATCCTATTATACTATCAACATAATCAACTCAACATGTTTCAACATAACATTAACCTACAACTAACAATGCAGTATATAAACAATATAATGTAATCAACACATCATGTAATCAACACAGTTTATCAACTAATCAACATATATATAATACTACAACTAAACATGCATCACACAACTCAACTATATGCGTGGTCACATATTTTAACTATGAGATTTTTTACAATATAAGTGAGTAGTCTAAATGACTTGACTTTATCAAACTAACAACTTGATCTTTTCAATAATTAATTTAGATAAAATCTACAACACAACACGATTTCTCAAATTTTGCTACTTAAACTAGAAAGTCTAATATTTTTGTTAAGCTAAAATAATTTGAATGTGAGTCTATCATGATATTAGTCAAAAATAATTATCAAAAATAACTTTAAAAAAAAGTTATAACATAATTTTAAAAAAGGCCGTTGGCATGCAATTTTTCATGTAGTAAGGATTTGAACCGGGGCCTAAAACCACAATTCCAGAAAAATAAAAATAATTCTTTCATGCAGCCTTTATTTGGTACATCAAAAATAGGTTAGGGATGAAAAAATAGAATGAAAATAAGTTAAGTTGTTTGATTATTAAGAAATAAGGTGATGAAAAATAAAAAAATAGAAAAATTTATTTCCATTATAAATAGAGTGAAAATATAGCTTAAATTTGTGCTCCACAAGACTTAATGGATTAGTATTTTTTTAAATCCATTAAAATAGTTTCCACTATAAATATGTTTTGTGCTTATAAGTGTAAAGATAATCTGTCGAAACAAACTTGCACGTTGGATAAAAAAATATCTGGAATTAGTCTTGAAAAATATAGTAACTCCACAGCTATCACCAGGAAAGTTTTACAAAAATATATCATAGCCCAGCAGAATTAAAGAAGACCCCAATACATTTTTCCTAACTCTATCATATTGTCAAAACATGGCATAACGAATTTATTCAAATAAAAAAAATAAGAAGAAAATTATACATATGAAGTGAAACTCCTAATCATCACTATTACAAGTAACAACATCAACGATTGTGTGGTGAACATCATGAATCATGATCATAAATGTGTTATTAGCTTATTGCTCAATTTGGTAACAATCTATGATAAGAAATACATTTTCAATCCAAAGTGGAAGTTACAGAATACACGGCTCCCCTGCTAACTAGCAACTCACAAATATCATCATGTCCCCAAATCCTAGCCATGTACAAAGGAGTAGCACCCCTCTTATTGACAGCATTAACGTTGACACCCTTCTCAACCAACACTCGCACGGTTCCAACATCGCCACCCTCCACCGCCATGTGCAGCGGCACGTGACCTTCCTCGTCCTCACAATCCAAGTCCAACCCCGCCAACTCACAAAGCACCCCAACCACATCCTTGTGCCCTTTAAATGCCGCGGCATGAAGCGCCGTCAAACCGTACCGGTCACGGTACTTCACACTCCCACCACCCCGCAACAGCGCCTCCACTCGCGTTGCGTCTCCACGCCTCGAAGCCTCAAACACTTCTTCTCCCACCTCCACCACCACCTCTTCCTGAAATTAAAAATTTTAAAAAAATATATCAAACATGATGGGCCTATTAATTTGGGCTTTTGGGATGGGCTTTGGCTTTACTCACGTTTGTGTTTGTATCTGCCTCGTGAGGGTCCTTGGGGTTGTGGATTATTCTCAAGCCGGCTTCCAGTAGGAGGTGAACCATGTCGTCCGGGTTGTCCAACTGCGTGGCGTCGCTGAGAAGCGACTCGGCTTGGGTGGGTGAGAAATCCGCGAGGATTGAACGCTGTCGTTTAATCAAGTTCCTGACGGCGTCTAAATCGCCGTGAGTGACGGCGTGGCGGAGGAGGAGGGGGCCAACGAAGGTCACCTTGAGTTTGAGGTCCCGCGTGGAGAAGCCGTAGGGGCGAGAGGCGAACCACGAGTTGATGGACTCGGGGTGAGTGGGACCGGACGAGTTGGGGCTAAACTCGGCGGTTTTGATTAGGAAACGGTCCGCGGGGGAGCGAGGGTAGGAGCGTGGGAAATGGGACTGCGGCTTTAGGATAACTTGGAAAGTGGCGAAGGACGAAGGGGGAATGAGTCCACTCGGCGGGTTAACCAGGAATTTGTTCGGGGAAGATGTTTGGATCTTGAAGGCCACCGATGTGGTTGCCGTTAGGGATCGAAGCCGCACCGTGGCTCGACATTTGCAGTTCAGCGCGAACTCTATCCGCACCTCTGATGGCTCGCACACTTCCACCAGTGCCTCCATCTACCAACCCTCAACTCTTCCTCTCTCATTGCTACAGATAAATGGAGTGAGTCACGTGACACGTTACGACGAAAAAAAATTAAAATTAAAATAAAAAAATAAAAAAATAAAAAATTATATGGACCCCACTATAACAACCACAAATGCGCTAAACAACACCGGTGCTACAAAACATTCCCACTCCCTTAGACACGTGTTATAGTCATGCTTTAGTCATGCTTTGTAGCACTGGGAGATTCGGTGCCCCCTCGGGTAGTGCTTGGTTGGTTACATCAGTTTGTTACCAGCAGCGTGTTTGTTGATTGCTGCATTACATTGCATATTGCACCCTCCGATAGTGCTTTGTTTGCTGCATTAGTTCATTACCACCGGGATGTGCTGCATTACATTACATATTGCATTGCATTAGGGAGGTGTAGAGTAGAGAGAAGAGAGTGGTGAGTTTCTTTTTTGCGAGGAATGCTTTTTTTTTTCTCTCTGAAAATTTTGAAATTAACATGAACTGAGTCAGCTTTTGCTCCTTGTTATTTGGTGAATGCAGATAATTGAACTAGAACTTGAACTGAATTTTTCTCTGGCACGAACATGTTTTACTCTCATCAGCTTCTTGCTCGAAAGGCTTCACTCGGTCAAATATGGTGCAAATTTTCTATTCATTTCACGGATAGCATTGCGCTCTTTTTTCTATTTTGGATATATTTTAACTCAAATCGCACTCTGTTTTCTGTGACATCACTGGTTTCAAATTTTGGTCGCCATGCATGTCAAAGCATTTAATATAACTACTCTTTCTAAAAACAATATAGAATGTGGAACTTCAGTGCTGACATGATCTTGTGCAAACTAAATAAATCATTGTTTGAATTTAGGAATGCTTCGTTTATTTTGTATTTTATGCTCCATGCGGACCATGCCTTATTGGTGATTCTGGATTTCAATTTTTACGTTAATTTTTAAAAGTAGAAATGAGAATCGTAATTACTTTGTGATTGCCTTTGATGAAGGATGGCTGCGACTATGCACGCAAAGATAAACCGAAGAAAGCTGGACAAGCTCAACATCATCAAAATTTGGTAATGGATTACTTATATGCGTATTTTTCTTATGATAATAATGATATAGAATGATGTTTATGCATATTTTTCTTATGATATATATATATTTTTTATGTATATTACATTATTTTGCATAATATTATTATATTTCTTTTGCTTGCTTACAGCGAAGAGATTCTGAACCCATCGATTCCTATGGCTCTTAGACTCTCTGGAATTCTCATGGGTGCACTCTCTCATTTTGTTTCTTTGCTATTTTTAATTTCATCCTTCCTTTCAATTTATAGGTTGGAATCTCTGTTTAATGGTTGTTTTTTTTATCAGGAGGAGTAGTGATTGTCTATGAGAGAAAAGTGAAGATCCTCTATGGTAAACTTCAAATCCTTGTTTTCATAATATTAAGATTTTAAAGTTCGCTTCAGAATTCTCATTTTATTTGTAATTTTACCTTTCTTCTTCACGACGCAGATGACGTTACGCGCTTTCTGGTATAGAGTTTTAACTTTTAACATTTCAACTGTTTTAATCAAAGTTCGTTTATCTTTTTACACTATTCTTACTATTTTTTACTACGCAAGGTTGAGATAAATGAAGCCTCGAAGGTAAAGGCTGTCCCAGATCCTACATTGCTCCCCAAGAAAAAATCTAAAGCCAAGTTAGTCGCATTTGCTCTGTTTAATTATTTTCTATTTGTTACTTCCGTGTGCTAACTTTTTTCTTTCTTTTTAAAAGGAGAGAGGCTGTTACTCTGCCAGAGAACAGTGAGGTAAACATGGCACATATGGAACAGTCCCTTCAGTTTTCCAACACAGGCACCACAAACGGATTCCAACATAACGCTTATTTTACTATGGTGTGTAGCTGATCCCATTGCAGTGTACGCAAAAAACTCATATACAATTTGATACTAATCCTAACTCTTTTGTTTATTGCAGCGACTTGATACGGTGGACGAACCCTTCACTAGTAACGGAGCAAGAGAGGATGAAGATCCTTCAGTATTTCTCCATCAAGGTTTTTTGTCCTTTAATTTTGTTTGACAGATATGTGTGTAGTCCGTGTAAATGTTCCTTTGGAAAGTTTTAATTCTTAACCATTCTCAGCTGAAGCGGAGAACATTACCTTATTCGATCGCTTTGAAACATTCCAAGCTACTGCAGATCCATTCAATCGCTTTGAGAGGTTTAGTTTTAGTCATCCTTATTTTGTATACTTAATTTTCTTTTTAAGAATATTTCATTTATTTTGTGAACGGTGTGTCAGATTTGATATTGAAGGAGATGAGGAAACACAGGTAAACCTGACATCAGAAGATCAAATTCCAACCATGCTTATACCCTCTCCACCTCATCAAGATGAACCCACAAGAGGTGATTAGGAAAGTTGTAATTGTTTTTAACATTGTCATTTAAAGTATTGGTAGGATATGAAAACATGTCGTTTCTTCTAGGTTAATTGCATTTCTTTTTCTTTGCCCACATTTCCCTGGTCTGTACCCTGCGGATGTAGCTTATTCCAATACTAGGATTCTGGTGGAAGAGAGAATTGTCGTTGTCCAGGCTACATTCAAACATGACCTGAACTCACTGATTTGACAACTACATCAAATTCCATTGCTCCTCGTAACTTATAAGCTTGGAGAGTTCTGATCTCACTTAGCTTGGCTACAACTAGAGGTGTACATATAGCTTAAGGATTGTAGGGGAGTAATGGAGTGTCATATTCCTAGGGTTGTACATAATATAACTTAAGGATTGTAGGGGAGTAATGGAGTGTCCATACTGCATTGCATAATATGCAACCTGTGTATCTCGCCGTCCTGCTCTACCTTTCTTACCTGAGGGGATTGAGGAGGTGAGCAATTATAATTTCATGTTACTAAAAGTTTATTTGTGATTTGATAACGCATCTTTGCATATTATTATTATTATTATTTGACTACATTTCAATTGTGAAAATAATCTAAGATATAGCCTTTTCTTTAAAGTCAAACAAATATTAATATACAGCAGTCTTATAGAAATAATGAAACATATATTGTCAACTAAAATAGGAAAACTATCGAAAGGAATTGTTTGCTAACATATAACTATTTTGATGCAGCCGATACAAATGAAGTCCATCTTCCTGGACACCCGGTCAATGAGCAATGTAATAAAGACATGATACCTAGAAGGCGAGGACCGAATAAAAGGAAAAGAGGACAACCACCGGCTTTTGTAATGGATTATGAGCAAACTATTATTCCTGTTCACATATATCAACATTGGCTTCAGAATGCCTCTGATATTGTCTCACAAAGAAGAAGAAAGAAAAAGGTTTTCATTTGATATCCATTATGCATCTAACAATCATGTATTTTGAATGAAATGCATATACATGTAAGTTATCAATGAACCGGATACCCAAGAAGCTTATCATTAATTTAATGCATCTTTAGTTATTTTGTTTTCCATATAAATCATTTAAGTGATATCATGTGAACTAGATAATTTTTTGAAAAATTTGCACAGAAAGTCTAATATCTTACTAAAAAATAAGAAAATAAAACAGAAAAGGATAAAATTAGTTATCCAATTATATTATATTTTCAGCAAAACACTTGCCAACTAAACATTACTTCTCTCTTTTGCAGCAACCTAATGTCATGTCTGCAACAAAGATAGCCAACCTCATGAAGCTTCCACCCGTTGTGCTAATTGGTGATTTATTTACTCGTGAAAATAATGATATATATTATCCAAAACCTATTCTTGACTTATGGATTAAGAGCAATCAAGCGCCCCATGATTCACCTTCAGGTCAGCATAAAGGATTAGTTGTTATTGAGAAACTAATCGACCTTTATATGAAAAAAGGTTAAGTAGAAAGTAACAAACTCAATTTGATGCAGAAAGGATTTCAGCACATCATCCTCCAGAACCATCATTTTCATCGCCTCCAGTAGTACAGAATGAAGATTTCATGCAATTTGTTAGTCTTATACACCATATTTTGGTTTTCTTTTCTTTATTTTTGGAGGATATATAGCTTATATCTGATAAAATGTTCAAATGTGAAGGCTTTTGAAGATTTTGACAGTGGGCTAGACAACCAGGCACCTCCAGTAGAGAAGCAACGAAAAAATATCCTCATGGATGAACTGACGGGTAGCCTTTTGAGAGGGCCTGAAGCTACTCCACAGGTTTCATCAGTGAAAGCTGGTATGTTTCATTGATTTATTTGTTGGATCTTTTAATTCTCTAATGTATGCCTTTGACTAAGAAAATACGAAATAATTGTTTTTCGGAGCAATATTCTAGGAGATGGTGGACATTCCTTTCCAAGACCAGCGTCTGAACATGGTCCTTCCTCACTTTCAGACTTTGATTCGGGAAGGTAGTTCAATTTATAAACCAATGATTATTGTTCAATTACGAACGAAAAAACTCTGTAAATTGCTCTTTATAGTTTCAAATGTTCATTGCATTTTGATATGTGAAGGACCAATAGAGGTGTCTTTTTTTATATTGTTAAACAAGATAGATTTGTGGTGGTTTGATGCTTCAGAACTGTTAACAGATTCAAAAAGAAGAGGTATTCATCATCTGGAAACAGCAGTGGAGGCCTTGAGCCTCTAGCTGAGGATGTGAATTTCAAGTTAGATAGGCTGTATGAAGATGGTCCCACACCTGATCAAGGTATATATTACTTGTAATGGTATATTTATATTTACTTAACAAGTATGTCAACCTTATAACTCTCAAGTTTCTTTTCAGAACTCCTTGTGGAAACAGGACGCACGCAAACACAAGTAGACATCAATCAACCTAGTGACAAGATAACCGATTCCATCCAAGCGTATGAATCTTTTTGAGTAATTTATTTACTTTCATTAAAGACAATTTTCACTAATAATATTAAATATTCTCTGCATTTGAACTTGAACAGACAGATGAAGGCACATTTTGACACGCCTGGAGCCCATCCAGTTGAATCACTTGATAACCTAGCCGCTGGAATGACCCGGGCATCAGCAGCAAAACTTTTTTATCAAATTTGTGGTATTTATTTATCATCCTGTTATTTACTTTCAATTTTTAATAATTAATACATATATCGAAACAAGTTCCAAGGACTGTTGCAATTCTTTCATGCATAGTTCTTGCTTCCCGCGATGCACTGAAAGTTGAGCAAAAGGTGTTTTATGGGGAGATTCTGTTCACTAGAGGATCAAAGATGTGATGAAGGTTTGGTTCCCCTTCCTTATGCAGCTTGTTTTCTTTATCAGCAACCGGTATTGATGTTTAATTTAGGAAATGCAATCATTATTCAAAATATACGCAACGTGTCTGGATTTTCCAAAATGCAAATAGTCATTGCTAGGATTAAAAAAAAAAAAATATTAGAAGATTTTTTTTTCCCCTCTCCAACAATGTCCAATGAAATTTCCATGAAATTATGAGTTCTCCATTCCTCTGTCCACTGTTCTCCATTTCTAGTTTATCCAAATTGTCACTGCTTGGCATCACTTTCAACATTCAGGTTAATTGAAAATTATTTTATTAGTTAAAATTTTTGTTTAAACAAAATAGACTTATTTAATGAAATGGCTTATTTTAATAAAGAAAAACAAAAAGTATATATTAACAAAGTCAATCAGTTTTAAGTTTTCATTCAATCACAAATTATCATTTATTGTAAGTTTGCTGACTTATACAATAATTACTATTCACTTTGTCTTATTTTATTTGATGTTTGAATGATTATTATCTATTTCAATTTGACTATTTTTTTTTTAATAATATTAATACAGTATTAAATATATTTTTCCTATTATATATTTAATTATTATTAATGTATTATTTAACTATTTGCGATATAAAAAGTTTAAAAATATATTGAAAAGTTACATAATTTATTTATCTAGTGAAATTAAACATAATATTTCTTAAGTTTTATAGCAAAACCTTATACGTTAAATAAAATAGCATGGAAGGAGTATTTTAAAAAGTCATATGAAATGTTGATTTTGATGGGTTGAAAATCTAGAATCTTTCACTCAAAGTACCTTTTTAGATCATTATTTCAACAGTATGCTATATATTTTAATTATCATACTGTTTATTCTAATTTATAGCAACATATTTTTATTGAAAGTTAAACTTCCAAAGGAGCGGTAATCAACTTTTTCAAAGGAATATTATTTCAAATTATTTATACAAAAATAGAAAAATATTTTTAATTTAAAAAATACTCTACTTTTAAAATGTATTTTTTATGTTGAAAAAGTTATAAACACTTCATAAAATATAAAAAATGAATAAGTATCACAACATTTTCTACTTTGAAAGCAAAAAATATTAATATGTTGAGAAATATTTAATAAAATGGTAAAATAATTCTCTATAATATAAAATCATTAAATAATAACATGCTTTTATTTTTTATTTCATTTTATTGCATATAATGAAAATATTTATAAATGAAAATGGAATTAAAAATTTTATTGTCCCTTTGGTAAATAATAAAAATATGAAGAAAAAGAATATTTGAACATATATAATTATCAAATTCAATTTTTTTATCAAATAATTAAATATTATATTTCTCTATCAATTAGTTCAAAATTTTTGACAACTAATATTATTAGTTTTAATGGGAAATAAATATACTAAAAAATATTTACGATAAATTATTAAATCAATAAAAAAACATTTTAAACATAATTTTTTATAATTTGAATTTGTTATTTTGTTTTACATAAATTCATGTCACATAATAGTATAAATAGTTAATTAACTCCCTTTCCTCTTATCAAGTAAGTTTGAGATTAAATTCGACTTCTTTTTATGAAAATATGTACTAGAAATAAAATAATTAAAAATTCTTAAAAAGATTGATAGTTGACTTTACCTTTTAATAGTTGCCTTGTTCTAATCTAAAGTTTTACTTTATCCAAAAAATTACATCTAGTTAAAATTATTTTTAACGGCTTAATTTGACGTCATTTATTATTTTTCTCTCAATAGTATATTTTTAAGAATCAATAACATAAAAAAATTAAGAATTGTATTAATAATTTATTAAAATTAACAGTAAAAGTATATTAACAATATTTTCTATAAAATATTCTTTTTATTAAGAGTGTACTAAAAATCAATATAAAATAAATGCATTGTAAAAAATAGACACATCAAAACTAAGCAAACAAAAATGGTCTAGCACTCTAGTTATTAAAAATTATAATTATGACAAAAAATATTTATTTCTTATATAAAAGATCAAACGTAATATTGATTTTTTACCCAATGTATTTATATATTTTTTATTTATAAAAATTATATACAATATTTTTATATTGTATATATATATATATAAATTATCTTAAATGCATTTTTAGTTCTTCAAGTATTGCACCTGTGTGATTTTAGTTCCCAAATTTTAATTAAATAATTTTAATTCCTTAATTATAATTGTGTGAGTTTGGTCTCTCATCTTTAATTGAGCAATTTTATTTTCTCTCATTAAAAATATATTATTTTTTCTTGATACAATGTAATTGTGCGACATGATTTATCATATTTTTAATTAATTTTCTTATAATATATTTATATATTTTAAAAATATATTAATATATACTAAAAATTATTAATTTATCTATAAATATACTAATAATACTATTGATATTAATTTATCAATAATATTATAATACTAATTATATATATATATATATATATATATATATATAACTTCAATAATGGTATAATTATTTTTGTTACTTCATATAGTTGTGTGAAAATTGAAATGTTTTATTGCCATAAATTAACCTTTGACTAAAAAATGCATTTATATTTAATATTTAATAGTTCTTTCAATAGAATTGCATCTATATAAGAATACATATGAGAAAAGATAATTAGAACGAGAGAATAACATTAACATATATTTAATATGGTCTTTTATATAAGATAATAATAAATTGTGAATTAAAACTTAATACAAATTAAAATTACACAAACTTTATTAGTTCTTAGTTTTCAAATAAGTTTACTTTGATTTTACCATTCATTTGAAAGATTTTCTTTTTTTGTTATATGAGGAGAAATAACTCATTTTTCTTAGGAATTGACCCTTATAGATGTACAGTGACACTTTTAATGGCATTTTCATGTCGAAGTGAAGGATCGAATTCTAATTTTTAGTTAAATAATATAAATATCCAACCACTTAAACTAATAATTTTTTGTCAATGCATGGAGTTTAGACTTTTTTTTAATATGTTAGTGTGAAATATTATTTCAATAATTAATCTCTATTAAATATTTTAGTAGAATTTCTTTTATTAACTACATTTTTTTATTTACAAAATTTGAACCCAAAATCCTATTTAAAAGATTCAAATATAGTCAAACTTGAACCAATACATTGACATAAGGAAAGTAGTGGTAAAAATTACACTAGCAAACAATAAATCTTAAGTTTGAACTTTAGAATCATCAATATAATTCTAATAGAAAAAAAAGTATTATATATTTTTTAATTATTATAATTAAAAATGTCAAATTTATTTCTAGTTATGAAAATAAGACCTGTAAAAAATATTTATTATGAACAATAGACTAATTTTGTCTGTCTATAAAAGAAATAGACTAACCCAACTAATAAAGAATTTTTTTCATACCTTACATTTTACACATTATAACTTTTTATATCTCATTCTTTCTCGTTAGGGTAAGAGTAAATAGTTTAAATACTTTTACTCATCTAATTATAGATCGTTATTAATGTCATATATATTAATTTTCATAATAATTATCTTTTAAAAAATTATTTATATATTTTTATTAATTAAAAATGTAATATAAATTATTTACATCTTCAATGCGCAAGTCTTTATATTACAAATTAATATTTTATACATACGATAATTTATATATATATATATATATATATATATATATTAGAATAATTTTTATTTTATGAATATTTTATTCATCATTATTTGAATACTTTTCCCATGAAAAGGTGAACTTTACTCTTTTAACATACACATGTCTTTTGTATCTTTTAATATCAAAGGTACTATCTATTATAAAATAAGTAGTAATTGAACATTAAAATAAAATATTTTATTTTCTAAAATCAAATATTATACTTTCTTATTATTTTTATATTTATTTTTCTATTTTTAACTTATTACCTATTTAAATATATCATTTTTATATCTATGTTAATATTTTTTAACTTTTATCTCTTTAAATCTATTATTCTTTTTAATATTTTCAAAATTTTATCAATAATTAAAAATAATTTTACATCACATTATAAATTATTTATCATACAATTAAAATATAATTTATATATTAAAAGTTATTTACTAATTGAAAACTTTAATTATAATAAAATATATAATAAAAATATTTATTTAATATAATTTAATTAATAGGTTGCACAAACTAAAATAAAAATAGTAGTTAGAAATCATGATTGGTATAATTTTTAACGCAAATATTATCAAAATTAATAAATCTATCATAATTAATAATATATAACGCGATGAAAATGTAAATCAATGTATATACTATTTTTTTTTTAAAAGCATTATTCTTTTTTATTATTCTTTATTAATTATTTATTCCTATAAAATATTTTTTCCAATAAAAACATTTTTTAAAAAGGCATTAAAAAAAAGCGCACATGCTCCTCTAGGTAGGGTTATGATGAGGGATGACCAATTGATGATGACGCATCATGGATAACAATAACCTTTAATAATAACCCGTTTTCCATTTATAACCCCACCCCCATTCGCTTCACCTCCTTCTATTCGCCCACCACCCTCTCCTCTTCGCTACCCTCAAAACCCTTTCCCCTTTCCCTCATGTGGCCACCGTGGCTCAATTCACCCAACCGGTTCCGCAACACTCCACCGCCGTCACCTTCGCCGTCACAGTCTCCGTTACCGTTACATTCGCCGTCACATTCTCGATCTCGCTCCTTCAACTTCTCTTGCTCCTCCTTCAAAGACATCCAGAGCCTCCTCCAAGACAAGCCCGAGCCCGCCGCTCCCAAATCCCCGCCGCGTCCGGATCTCCACCGCCGTCCTCCGCGCCCTCGGCGCCTCACGCGCCGCCTCCCCCGCCGCATTGCCGCCCGGCCTCGACCAAGGCGTCGTCGTCTACTTCACCTCCCTCCGCGTCGTCCGCCGCACCTTCGACGACTGCCGCGCCGTACGATCCATCCTCCGCGGCCTCCGCGTCGCCGTCGACGAGCGCGACGTCTCCATCGACGACCGCTTCCGCGACGAGCTCCACGGGATCCTCGGCCGCCGCAGCGTTGCGCTGCCGCGCGTCTTCATCGGCGATGGTTACACTTTTTAAAAATAAAAATAAAAAATAAATATAATGACGTGGCAATTTATGATTGGAGGGACAGGATTTGGGGACAGGAATTGGAGACAGAAGATTTTGATCCCCATTTCACATATACATAATTTTTTATTTAAAAAGTTAATATATTATTAAACCGCCGCAGCGTTGCGCTGCCGCGCGTCTTCATCGGCGGCGTCTACATCGGCGGCGCCGACGAGGTCCGGCAGCTCCACGAGAGCGGCGAGCTGCAGCGCCTCATTGAACGCCTTCCGCGGTCGAATCAGATCGGTTGCGATTGCTGCGGTGGATTCAGATTCCTCATGTGCGATGAGTGCAACGGAAGCCACAAAGTGTTCACTGAAAAAACAGGTTTCCGAAGCTGTTCATCTTGCAACGCCAACGGCTTGATCAGGTGTCCTGCATGCTTCTTCGTGCTTCCGCGTCACACCAAATCGCTACCTCCTCAGTTAGTTACAGCTCACAAACAACTCTGATGAAATTAAATTAATCAATTATGTTGATAAATAAAGAGTTTATCGGTTTAATTTAATTTAAACTATGTTACATATATTAATTCCGTTCCGATTTGAATAGTCTCATATTAGTACTATTATTCATTGGTATTACTAGTAGTATTTTATTATATGGTGTTAGGAGGGAGATTTGATTTGTTGTAATGGCTTCTCAACATTTAATGATTCACATGGAGTCGTCATGTACTGACAGCACACACTGCACTTATGATCTTTGTGGGAGGTTCCTTGGGCAGGGCACGAAATTTGAAATTATTTTTGTCTGGTGGTTGATGCCATGCCAAAGGATCCAAACTATTCCCACCGTTTTCGATTCAATTTTTGTTCTTGCTCATGCGTTGGGGCAGATCATGGACAATTGTCTTAGGAGGTGGGAACCGCGTGTGTTGGATTGGACCTCGTTTTGGGTCTGGCCCATTTTCTATTTTCCTGCTTTTCTGGGGTGCTGTTGATTGCTTGGCCCACTTCTTTTCTACCGCCAATTTCTTTCTCATGTCGCTCACGTTAACAATGACCCTACCTTTGTCTCTTCATTTTCTCACTTAAAATAATTTTACTTCTTTAATATATATCCATTTTTGTTTTAAAAAATTAGTCTTTGTTTAAGTATTATTTATCTTTATATTCTAAAATTTACATGTATTAGATGCTTGTAGTTCCTTGTGAGTGTACTAATTTTATGACTGAAGAGGACAATCTTAGGCTTGGCATCTACAAATAGAGAATGAGGTGAGGAGTACAGAAAGAAAGGTCAAATAATGTATTGATTAAACTAAACTATTATCTAGATTAGTACACTATAGTTCTAGGAGTTTGAACTAAACTATAATATCAACTAAATTAAACTATTATTAATTATAAACTAAATTGAATTACATTAAAAAAATAAATTTAAAATCATTTTTAAATTAAGTTACCAAATCATTGATATTAATTATAAATTAAATTTAAAATATACAGTGCCAAATTTTAAATTATCATAAGGAGCCTAATAATATACAAGCTATGCATGCATGGGTTATAACTCGACCAGGAGCCCAAAACTTCTATTTATATTGTTTAAGCCCAAAATCTCATCTCTACTGGAAAAATAAATGAAAGGCCCACCAATGATAAAAACAAAACTATTAGCCAGACTATTAGAGGTAAAATGCAATCCCGGTCTCCGCAAGTCCGAACACAAATGTGCTTCAGTTTTCTTTAGTGAACTGAACTATTAATTTTAATAGTTTAACTTTATAAACTACATTAAAACTAATAGTTTAATTTAAACTATTAAAAAATAATTTAGTTTATTTTAGTTTAGTTTAATTTAGTTATTTAAAAAATTTAGTTTAAAATAGTTTTGTGAACACAACGTTTTGTATTTTTCTTTTCCTAACACATTTAAATATGGTATTGGAAAAGTAAAAATTACGATGTATTTATATGGGCCTAATAGAATTGTAGTAGATACATCTCGCCATCGTTTGTGTTTAGACTTTCAAATAAAAGTAGTAGCTTAGATATAATAACTGGCAAACAAGGTCTCTTTAAAACATGGCCAATAGAACCCTTTTTCATAGTCTTTGATATTTTAAAAACCTTAGTCTTCTGCAGATTGAATGGTAGTTTTAAATTCCTTTTTGATCGAATAAAAGTATGTTTTTCTGTTTACATGCATAAGTCATAACACTTGCAACTTTTTTCATAATGTTAAATTTTACCTTTTATCTTCTATAATATTTAATTTCCAAGTTTGGTTTCTTTTTAATTTTGTAATTTTAATCCCATAATTTTGTGAAAACTGCAATTTTGATCTAACAGATAAATGTTTATTTGTTGATTAATAAGATCGTAACATTATGATTTTACATTAAATACACAATTCATTAAATAGATGACATGCTAATTAATATTTAATAATATTTAGATTAAAATATATTTTTAATCATCATTTTTACCTAATAAAGTGGAAAAAAAATAGATAAAGATAGGGCAAAAATAAGGACAATTAATGTAACGAAAATTACTCTACGGAAAAAAAAAACGCTCCAAAAATTACATCGAGCTGTGTTATTTTAGATTAAGAAGTATTCGTTTGACCTGTTAAACATATAAAGTTTAAGTTATGCATATTTAATAAGAGGGTATTTGACCTACCCAACCTAAAACATAATTTTTCTCTCATACTTGTTATAGTGTTTAGATTACTTAAAAAAAAAGTCGATTGTGAATGAAATGGTTTAATTTTGCGCAAAAGTTAATTTGAAAAAGATCAAAGTTATCTTAACCAATTAATTTTGATGAGATGTTAGAGAAATGAGAAGACATTCACCCTCTTTTTTTTTTATTTATAAAAAAAATGAAATGTTTATTTTTCATTCTAAAACTTTAGTTAGTTTTAAAATATAGATTACATTCCGAAGTTATATATTACTCTGCGTAAATTATAATGCAATTTTATATAAAATTTAAGTATACCATTTTAAGATGCACCGGAGTTGACTATTTTAGTCAATAGCCACTTATGCTTTAGAGTTTATGCAAATCAATAATGTATAGGAATAATCATGAACATGAAAAGGTCACCGTCTAATACTTAGTAGTTCTTATGTCCTAATCAAGAGAGAGGTATGTAAACATCATTAGCGGTGGCCTGGATTTTCCTTATCTAAAGAACATCCTTTAATTAAGTTTTAAATTAAACATCCACTCGTAATCATCAAATATTCAAATTAGTGTCTCCACATGTGTGTTTGCCTTACAAAACTTGTACATATAGACGTAGAAGATCGATCAATCAATTGTTCATATATTAAATTAACTATTTCAAAACCTTTTTTATATAAAAAATGATAATATTAAATTTTTTTTTGAAGAAAATGTTTAAAAGACTACAAGTGTACATGCAACACGTAGTGTTTATTTTATTTTCCCTTTGATTTTTCTTATTATCAGAAAATTATATTATGCATAGAACTCGAGTGTAAAGGTAGAAAAAAAGTTTAAACAATATTTTATTATAAGAGGTACATAGATCAGGTTGTGTCAGATAGGCTAAACAATTTGAATAAGTAAAATTATCCAAATTAATTACTCCATCATGCGGGCCACAAGTTGTATACTTGTTCCCCGTGTCATAGTCAGACTATAATTGTTTCTAATTTCCTGCATATAGTATGCCAACAATTTTCGAAGTTTAATTCAGCCATCAAGATAAGCAAGATATAATAAGATAATCTTATCTTGTTTTACTTAAATTTATAGCTTGAGAAGCTAAAAAGATAGGATAAATTTGAAGAAAAATTTTAAATTATTGAAAATTCTAAAAAAAATATATGATTAATTATATTTTTTACTACTAAAATTTTATCATTTCGTGAATTTTGTTATATAACTTTTAAAGTTGTACATTTAATTACTTAACTTTTAAATTTTTACACTTTTGTCACTTATTAACTGATCAATAATGTGGACAGCAAAATATATAAAAGTTTACAATTTTAATGACAAAATATATAATTTAAGAAGTTTTATAACAAAATTTAAGAAATTATAAATTTTGGAAATAAAAAGTGCGATTAAGACAATGTTATAAAAAATAAAATCCATATAATATATTGAAAAAATACAAGAAAATGAGTATATTTGATGTCAATTTAGACAAAGTCGATTTTCTTTTCTTATATCTAACACTATTCAACTTAACATCTAATGTGACAAAGTTAGAGATAATTTTCTTTTCTCATGCTTGACGTCACCAATCTTGCACCTAACACAAATAAGACAAATGGTCCTTAATTTGAGTCATGAAGGCATGCTTAACATGATAGTGAATTCTACATTTGATAGATTCACAAACTTGCTCGATTCCACCTGAAACTCAGAAAAAATTAAATATACAATATGTATTAGCATATATAGACACTTCAAACAACTAAGTCCAACTAGAATCACAACATATGATAACAAATATGGTAGAATCACCAAAATCACTTCAACATCCATCAAAATGTCCGAGGCTCACCAAAACATATTTGCATTCCAATCTATTCACACATAACTAAATCTAAATGAATTCAAGCACATATAACATCAACAATCAATAAACAATCAATTTTAACTTTTTCAATGTAGCATTAAGCTTTTTTTTTTTAAATATTTATTCTCCCAATAATATTACATAGAAAATTATTTTTAATAAAGAAGATTAATAATAAAATTAATTTTGTAAAGTCATTATTCTCTTTTATTTATATATTAATTTTTCTTAGTATATATAAAAAATAATTTAAGACGATATTTATTAAACAAAAAAAAATTATTTATTACTCATTCAAAAAACATAAATAAAAATAAAAATATTTAATTATCACAAAATATACCAGTTAATTAATATAGGAAATTGATTTATTGATTACTATATAAAAACATGATAGAGTTAACATAATTATGCACTTATTTCATTACTTAAATCTATTTTAAAAGTATAAATGAATATGTTAACAATTTTCATAAATATTTAATGTAAGAGTTTTTAATCGGTCAAACAATATTATTAAGTCCAAACATTTAATTGAAGAAGTTGGTTAATTAATTTTAATAAAATATACTAGCCTTAATTTAATCGTATTATATATTAGACTTAATTACATTTTGTACCCTCGTTAATACTCTATAAAAATATAAACGGAATGCTAATGTATGTAATTTTACTTGGAAATCCCTTCCTCGAGTCAATAATTTACTCGGAAATCAATTTAGTATTAGCTTACACAAATGTGGACGATTTTTCACACCAACAATCACATATATTAATACATATATAACTCATATCATTAATACCACTAATGCGAATATCATATAAATATATTAATAAAATAAATATATTAATATTAGAAGTAAAAATAGATTAGATTATACTTTACAATAATAATAATAATAATAATATAATAATAATATTATAATAATAATAATAATAATAAGTATTATTATTATTATATAAAGATCAGACTACATTAAATTTTTTTTATATAATGATAAATATTTATTTTATTCAAATACATCGATCTATTAGGCTTATAAGAATTTTTAAATGACCT